CAAGGCTGAGTTTGGGGCGCTGGAGTTTATTTGATAGGGTTCTGATTTGAGGGCTTTGCGGTTCAAGCTGTTGTGGGTTCAGGTGATGATTTTGCAAGCAGGGATCGCTTGCTAACAGTGTAACGGCTGGATAAACTGAGCTGTTGGGGGGGAGGGCATGTGTGCGTAGAGCATGACATATTGAATATGAAGGTGAGTGTATGTGCCATGCATGCGCATCCATACATGCATGCATGCAGGTATGTACGTATGCATAAGTACGCAAGGAAGTACGCGAGTCAGCGAGCGAGTGAATGAGTGCGTGCGTGCGTTTGTGAGTGAGTGGGTCAGTGCATAAGTGAGCGAGACAGTCTATAGGCAGGCAGGCAGCCAGGCGGGTAGGTATGTAGGCAGGTATGCAGGTTTGTAGCTATACGTGTAGGCATGCATGTATGCATGTATGTATGTATGTATATATGGGTTTTAAGGCATTTGGGGCTTAGGGGTTTCAGGTTTCGGGCTTAGGCTTCAGGGCTTTTTCGGGCGTAGGGCTTCGGGTGTCGACTTTTCGCTTTTGGGTTTAGGGTAGCAGCTCTCAACCGATAGTGTTCAGGGCTTCAGCCTCTCATCCTTCCCGAATGAAAACCCTAAACCCAAAACCTTAAACCCTAAACCCTAAGAACCCTTTTGCAGGTACCTCGATCACCTCACCGATCCGACACAGGGCCTGCCACGGATGCTCTGTGCTTCGGTTTTAGGCTTCCAGGATTGGACGAGGGGCTTTAACTTGGTTTAAGGGCTTGCGAGGATAGTCGAGGGATCTTCTAATTCTGTGTTGCAGGGCCCGAAACAAAACCGCTAGCTCTACAGCTGCTCTGGCTGAGGGAAACAGTAGTTTGCTTCATAACCACAAGGGTGCTTCCTAGTGATGCTCTTTTGCCGTTTAGAGCGTCTGAATAGCAAGCAAGATTAATATTCATGTAGACCCATGCTGAGCGGCTCCACAGCACCAACACTATAGTAAGCAACAAGGCACGGCAGACAAGCCCTACACCACTACCAGCACCCTGGACCCTAAACACAAACTCAGAAGCCGGAGCGCCAAACGCAAAAAACTCAACATGAGGCCTCAACAACGCCAAGAATGAACCCCAAGCTCCCACGTAGCTGAGCGACAACGGAGAAAAATCTGAGAAAGTGGCCGAATCACAAAGCTCGTTGTGGTTCAAATCCTGGGATCGGCTGTGTGGCTTAGGCTTTGGTACTTGGAGGGTTCTCGACATTAAGGATACCTTGTTTAGGGGCTTATATCAGGCAGACTACTAGTTGAGACTCCATGTAAGGGCCATTTGTTTTCCGTCAAATGTTGTTGAGAAATGTCCTATGCTTGCCAGAACTGCATAACGAAGTTGGGCACCTTGCATGTCAATGTCCGAACAATTACAGAAGTTCTGAAGTCTTACTCAGAAGAGGTTGCCAGTCTGTTTAAAAGGCGTAGGTTTTCTTCCGCCAGTGAGCACATCGCCGTCTTCCGATTCTCGCGGTTTGGGCTTTACGCTTTACATGTCATGGTTGCTCTGACCGAACCCTGAGACATAGCCATGAAACTACTTTGCTCCGACAGTTTCTGAACCACTCCTGTAAAGCCTTTGCAAACCGTGCGGTCCAGAAGCACCTACAAATGCGATGTGGGTGTTGCTCTATTCTTGTGATCCGGTTGATGACCCTGCATGCGGCATGCTCTGTTGACATAGGTAACCGGCTGTAACACAAGCCCCACATACCATGACTGCGATTGCAATGGATCTCAGCCAAGCCGAAGACGAGATGGCGAAGCGTCTTGTTCTCAGAGAGGCCCTGCGAGTTGCATCAATGCTGCCATGTAGTTGCAAATCCTTGCTGTGACATGTTCCCACATGGGAAATAATATGTTGCAAGAACACCACTAACAGCAGCAACGCTAGTAGAATGATAGAGACAGGAATGACAGTCGTCGTCGTAGTAGTCGTAGTACTCGTAGTAGTCGTAGTCGTAGTCGTAGTCGTAGTCGTAGTCGTAGTCGTAGTCGTAGTCGTAGTCGTAGTCGTAGTCGTAGTAGTAGTAGTAGTAGTAGTAGTCGTCGTCGTCGTAGTCGTAGTCGTAGTCGTAGTCGTAGTCGTAGTCGTAGTCGTAGTCGTAGTAGTAGTAGTAGTAGTAGTAGTAGTAGTAGTAGTAGTAGTAGTAGTAGTAGTAGTAGTAGTAGTAGTAGTAGTAGTAGTAGTAGTAGTAGTAGCAGGAGTAGTAGTAGCAGGAGTAGTAGTAGTAGCAGTAGTAGTAGTAGTAGTCGTAGTAGTGGTAGTGGTAGTAGCAGTAGTAGCAGTAGTAGTAGTAGCAGTAGTAGCCGTCGTCGTAGTCCTAGACCGTTAGGGTTCACTACTACACCCTAAAGTCTAAGGCCTCTACTTTCAATCCCACACCTCAACAGACATGTTCTGGGTTGGCCTTTAAACATCCTGAAAAATATTTATATATAGGGTCCCTTATAAACCCAAATAAGGAAAATAAAAAATGCCCCAAAATCCAACACTAGCCAGGCTGGCCTCCGCTAGAGCACGTGCACCCTGCACCTGGCCGAGGCACACCAAGTCCAAACTTCAAAAGCCATCAAAAAAATCCCTAGAGTACCCTTATTTTAGGGTTTAGGGTTTAGGGTTTAGGGATACTTACCCTTCTAGATCCCTTTAAAGGAACCCTAAACCTTAAACCCCCACACCTAAACCCTATAAACCCAACGGAGCCTCAACCTAGAGTACCGCCTGGCCCAAGCACGGCAACCTCCGAAGTCCCATGCCCCGAAATTTAAGGTTTAGGGGTTCAGGTTTGTTTTTGTTGAACGCCTTTTTCCGTCTGCTAGCTTGCTAACGTCCAGGGGTTTAGAGTTTAGGGGTAAACCCAACCACAAAGCCAAGCCGTTTAGGAACATGGTTTACAGGGATTAGGGCTTGGGGCTTTGCGGGCTTCGGCGCTTTATGAGGTTTAAAACTTGAGGAATTTAGAGCTTAATGCTGCAAGGTTCAAAGGTGTAGGGTTCAGCAGTTAGTTCGGGATCCCAAGAATCGGGAAACCTGAACATTGATGATGCTGAGCACTGCAAATGGAATGAATAACATTAATGTAGGACCAATGAGACAAACAAACGCTCATAGTGATCACAGCGGCCGCTTGAGAATGGCTTCTGTGCCGTAGGAGTACGTAGTAATTAGAGACCATATAGAGACAGTCATCAGAATAGCAACAAGAATAGCAACCGCCTGCAAAAAGACGTGCACGCTTCAAACCACGAGAGGTACCCGCGGCCGTGGGCCCGAAATAGGAAAGCAGGCGCAGGGGCACGTTGTCCTTCTCGCCAATGCGGTTGCAGGAGAGGTTCAACTGGCAGGGCAACTTCGGGCTGCATACAATTGGACAGCGACAACCATGCCGAGCGGGAGGGGGATCAGGATCAGAGCAGGAGGAGGAGGAGAAGGAGCAGAATGCGGAGTATATACCAGAGGAAAGGTGACGATGAAGATGCCGATGATGGCAACCTGGATGATGAAGAAGATGACAACGATGATGGCGATTCTCACCATTGTCATTATCATGATCATGACCATGATATGGATCATGATGATGGGAATAACGACGAGGATGTGGAGCATCCAAACGAAACGCACCATGTGTTCAGCATCGTCATTGCTGCCAACACTACGGCGAGGCCGGGCGAAAGGGACACACCCCGGACTTCTAATTTCGGAGAGAGAGAGAGAGAGAGAGAGAGAGAGAGAGAGAGAGAGAGAGAGAGAGAGAGAGAGAGAGAGAGAGAGAGAGAGAGAGAGAGAGAGAGAGAGAGAGACAGAGACAGAGACAGAGACAGAGACAGAGACAGAGACAGAGACAGAGACAGAGACAGAGACAGAGACAGAGACAGAGACAGAGAGAGAGAGAGAGACCAAACCAAGGAAGGTGGTCTTGTGTGATAGATCAGACCTGTGTGGCATCATGGAAGCCTAAACCTGATGCCCCACACTCCCTCGACCCTAAACCGTAACCCTTAGCCCGAGACCCTGAACCCTCAACCCCCGATCCTAAACCCTAAAGCTTTGGCTTCAGAAACCATCCGACTAAGCAGGATCCTTCTGATACCGACCGGAGTTTTTTGCGGTTATTGTTTCTGGCGCTGTGCAAAGGGTGCATGAAGTGGCCCTAGAGTTTAATTTAGGGGCCTTCATAATTAGACTAGGGTCTTGGGGCAAATTGCATTACAATCATAATAAGGAACCCATCATAATAAGGAACCCCCAACATGGTTTATGTGCTCATTATGACCCCTAAATTAGGGTGGGATCCTTCTTCCAAGGACTCCCTGAGGAGGGACCCATGCCTTCGAATCACCGCGGGCCGAGGTCCGGGCGGTAACAAGAGTGCTGGTGTGCACCAGCAACGTTCCGAGGTAGTACCTGGTTCAGGGCTGCTTTACTTGGAGGTTCATGGGAAGTGGGGTTATAGGCAGGGTAACGATATTTATAGCCCATATTCGGAGACTTATAACTCCACTTACAACTACCCTTGAACCTCCAAGAAAGGGGTTACCTTAAGGTTCTGGTAAAGGACCCCCTAAAGGAGCCCTTAAAGGAACCCCTAAAGGAGCCCTGAACGGCACTTCGAACAAGTCCCCTCGAAGGAAACGGGAATCTTTCAGGAGCTAAAACTCCTACAAGGATTTCTAGAAGGGGTTTTGAATGGGGCCTAAGGTTCAGCGGAGTTTAGGGATGCTTTAGTGCTCAGGATTTAAGCATATTTTATTCAGAGCTTAGGGTTTTGATCCACTGTGTCATGCAGACAGCTTGCATTCGTTACGTTTCCACAAGGTCTGCTGAGCAGCCGAAGCAGCTGCCAACCTGAGGTAGCTGTGCTAAACCCGCCTCGAAGCGAATCAACCCAAGCTCCAAAAAACCTGAAAACCTCGCGAAAACACAAGCGGAAATCCGTAATCCCAAATCCTGAACCCTAAACTCCGAAACATCACGTAGCCCTGAAGCGCCGAAGCCCAGTGAAGAGGGCCCCCACGCGCCCACGGCTCCCAGCTCGTTGCACCTGCAGAACAACTTGCTCAGGAGCTGAAGTTCAAAGACTTTCGAACACTTTCCAAAGACAATTGTGGATTAAACACGAACATTACCGGCGCCTGTCTTAAATTCCCACACGGCCCCTGGGGCCGTTCCCAGGCATAGCTGGGTGCCCAGACACTGACCCGCACTGGGCGAAACAATGGCGGGAGCCTATGGAGAGTGGTCGAATACAGCCCGATCTTCCACAGCTGGGCCGAGAATCATAGAATACCTTGATTTTCCGCTGTATGCGAACACCCTAAACCGCTGGCCCTCGCTTTGCCCCCCCTTGCCTCCCTGGTTGTCTGGCGCCTCTTTGGCCGTTCTGGCCTCTCTCGGCCCCGGGCCCTGACCCCGCCCTTTGCTGCTCGGTCTGAGAATTGGGGCGTAAGCCCTAAACCCTATACCCTAAACCAAACCCTAAACCCCAAACCGTAACCCCTAAACCCCATACATCCCTATACCCTAAAGCCTAAACCCTCCCCAACATCCTCCTCTGAAAACCCCCAAGCCATGAGCAGGTCTCTGTTCACGGCACCGCTCGCAGAAAAACTGGAGGAGATTGGGGTCTGGGCTTTCATGTTCTGGGGTTTAGGGGCCAGGGTTTAGGGAACCCAGCAGGTTTTAATTTTGGGTTCAGCCATAAGCATATGCGATGCTTGAGTAGCAGCACCAATCCGAAATCTTTGAACTTCTGGATGCTTGAGGTGCTCCATCCTACCTAACTTTATGGCGTATGGCTCAGGCTTGGTGTTCAGGATTATACAATACAGGGACCTTAACCACTAGAAACGGATTTTGGATACTCAGGGTTCCCACGCAACATTACTAAGACTTGTTCTTGCCTCTAAGTTACAACCCTTCCCAGACCAGCGTGTTCAGGCTCAGGACTGATTTGTTGGTTTATGGTCTCGTCAAAAGTTCGGGGTTTCGGCCTACCCCAAAACCGACAAAACACAAAGCCCCGTCAATCAAGTATCTTCCTGAAGGCAACATAAAATTCCCTGCATCACTGAAGGACCATACACGAAATCAGAAGCCATAGCAAGCTCAAGAAAGATATTCGTGGATTCCCGAGCTTAGGGGACTCCCTGACACCGAAACCCTAAAGCGCGTACTATTAAACGCTGAATGCCCCACAGAACCCTTGCTTCCTGAAACACCCTGCCATATACAAACGTTGCTTATCATGACCAACACTATTCCTTTGGGTTCCTTGCCATATCTGTAGCAAAATATGGCAGTCTCCGAAAATAGGGGACCCTAATATCGTACCCTAAATAGTAGGATCCTTATTATAAGGACCCCCAAAATGAGGTACCCCCTAATTCTCGGAAACCCCCATATCCCCCAAACCCTGTCCTCCTTACCAAAGCCCCTAAGCTGCCTCAGGTCCAGCACCCGCAGCACCTGCCAGGGATTGGGGTCCGGGCTTACTAAAGGGGCCTCAATAATTGCAATAGGGTATTTTGGGACCCGTTATACTGTAACAGTATAATACGGAGCCCCGAAAAGAATACAGGAAAAAAACGAGGTCCCTATATTGGGGTTTAAGGTTCTGGGTTTCGGGTGTTAGACTGGACTTAGCGTTTAGGGAGTCGACATGTTGATGTAGGAGGTCGGGATTAAGGGGGATCCGGGATTGAAGGCCTGGGTTTTGATGTAGCATGTAGGTATGTCAGAGCCTCTCGATCGAAAACCCTTCCGAAGTGTTGAGGATTTGGGTACGGCCCCCACTCAGTAATAGTTGAATAGTATTCATAATAAAGTTATATTAGGACCTTAATAGTAGCCCTATTATAGACTCTTACTGTATGGGGGCCGTACCTAATTGAGGATACATGATTGAGCTAGTCTTTTCCGTTTCGACTGGTAGGACAAAGCAAAAAGACGCACCAGACCCGAAACCCCGCAACCCTTTTCCCTTATCGTCGCCCTGCCCACGCGGGCTACTATAAGGGTTATGGGCCATAACTCACTTATGGGGGTAAGGGCTTCCTAACCTTCACCTTATGTAGGGGCCTAATAATAAGAATAACGTTTTGGGGTCCATTATACTATAATCATCAAAAGGAGCCCTCCAAAAAGTATAGGGAATTATTTAGGCTCCTTAACTTAGAGGGCTGACGCGGGTGGGATTGATTTTAGGGTTTAGGGTTTCCTACCCTTCCCCTAGTGCTTGCCTTGTTCTCCAAAAGGAAGTCCACCAGCTGCCGGATGCCATCGTCACGCATCCTGCACTCTTCAGCCCCGACCCCCGAACTTCGCAAAGTTGATGCTCAAGAAATAGCAATGAAAATAACAATACACTAATTTTAGTAATAAGCAATAAAACAAGTGTTCCTCCAAATAATAGTAGTAAGGTAATGCTGATGCGCAATAGCAATATTGTCATAACAGTGAAGCAAGAGGAAGACCCTCAACATCGGTTTGGTATTTGGGAGTTTCCGAAAATTGGGGACCCTAAAATCGTACCCTAAATAGTAGGATCCTTATTATAAGGATCCCCAAAATGAGGTACCCCCTAATTTTCGGAAACTCCCATTTGGATTGGGGCTTCAGGGTTGAGCTCCTGCAGCTGGCATCTAAGGGCAAAGGGGAACATTCATCTGGCAGTTTCCGACACTTAGGGTACCTTATCTGGGTGTCCTTCTAAAAAGGGTCCTACCCTATTTAGGGTACTTTATTAGGCTCCCCTGTTTTCGGAAACCCCCATCAGAAATTCGTTTAAAACCTGTGCAGGGTCGCTCTGAAGCCTGGAATACACCCTAGTTGTACAATTCATCTGTCCTCACTCTTCTTCCCACCACCCCAATGTAAGCCCCAGCCCGTGCCCGAAGCTCAGCCGCTCAACCCTGACCCCTAAACCCGAATCGCTTGAAATCCTAAAGCACACCGGCCACCCTGACCCCATCAAACCCTGAAACCACTAAAACACGTCTACACAGCCCTGGAAAATCTCACAGTATCCCAACCCCTTGTACTATAGGCGCCTTCATACTTACCTATACTATTTTGGGGTTCCTTACTATAGTTATGGTGCAATATACCCCAAGACCCTAGTCAATTATTAAGGCCTCTAATGTAGAACCCTACTATAGACCCCTTTAAAGGAACCCTCTAAAAATTATTAAGGCCCCGTTAGTAGGAGCCACCTGTGCTTTCCGAGGTAGAGCTCCGTGAGAGTCGTGTTGGTGCGCATCATGCGGCCGAGGTGTACTGTGTGATCTTCCTCGTTGGCTCAAAGGGGAAAGGAGGGACCCTGAATGGGGACGCCTACCCTATAATGGGCTATATAATGGATATATAATAGTTATATTAAGGATATATACTAGGGGTCCTTATTAAGGGTCCCTCCTGTTACCTTTGGATTGGCGCTTTCGGGGCTTAAATTAAATAGGGTTTAGACTTGCTTTAGGGTAGGGGTTTAGGGGCTTAGATAGGGGGAGGGGGTGTTGGGGTGAATACAGGGATTTGGGAGTTTCGGAAACCAGGGGACCCTAATATAGTACCCTAGATAGTAGGATCCTTATTACGGACACCCAAATAAGGTACCCCTAATTTTCGGAAACTCCCATTTCAGAATTCAGGGCATGGGCTGAAACTGAGCGACTTTCGTCTAATTGGCTAGTGGCGCCCTGAACCCTCAGCCCCAAGCCCCTTACAGCTTCAGGAGCAGACCCACCTCAACCGAGACCCTAAATCCTGAAGTCAAACTCGAAGCATGCACTGATTTAGGGTTCCAGGGAAGAGCTCTGTAATGGTTACTCATACAGGCAAAAAAAGGGCTACTCTAGTCTCCAACAAAGGCAAAAAATTAAAAGGGCTACAAACCCTAAACCCTGAACCCTATCAGGGTTCCATGATCTTACCTTTGGTTTGTAGGGAATGGAAGAATGGTAGTAATAGTAGTTTTCATTGTACCCCATTCCTCCATTCCCTACTAGCCAAAGGTACGTGATAGGGTTTCGAGAATTACCGAGTCCACCCTCCTGGAGGGTGGAGATGCGCGGGTTCTGGATGTCCAAGACCTTGGACGAGGACTACACCCCAAAAATTTCGGGGTGTTGATAACTAGAATACGGTTTTGGGGTACGTGATACTATCAATAGAGTAAGGACTCAGGAAACTATATTAAGAAGATGTGCAGTATAGGGTTCAAGATGTGGGGTACTGCAGTCAGGGTGTTGACATGTACAGACTGCTAGGACGTTCTAGCGTTCGGCTCTGTGGGGCCATCTTCCGCCCGAACAGAATCCTCTCGTGGTTTCGATTTCGGGCTCATGGGTCCCATAACCTTAAACCCAATCACGGAACCCTTCTAGTAACCCTTGTAGAACCCTTCGAAACAAGCCTCAGTAACCTTTATATAGCACCCTGTCAGGTCTCTCATAAAACCCTCTTCAGACTTGCCGTTTTAGTGGGATAACTGCATCAAAAACCCAAACCGTTTCGAGTGCCCTTATGAGTAACCATTACAGAGCTCTTCCTGGGAACCCTAAATCCTAAATCAGTGCGAAGGACATCAATGGCAGGAAACCTGCGGGCTCCAGGTCAGAAGGCGACTGAGGCCGGGTGCTTGAGGATCACTGGTTGGGGTTTAGGGTTTAGAGCTTAGGTGGTTTGGGGTTCAGGGGGTCTAGGATGTCGTGTTTTGGGTTTTCAGATTAATTGAGCCGTTTAGGCTTTGGAGGGTAAGGTTTAGGAAAGCTCCAGCCAGTAGAGGACTGCAACTCAGGGTCTGGGAGTTGGCTTTCAGATTCGGAAACCTATCCACCTAGAATCTCAAAGAACACGAAGCGGGCTCAAAGGTTAAATCCCTTAAACCCTAAAAACCCCTATACCCTTTGGAGGAGCAGGTGCCTTCAGTTGCGTTGGATATCTCCGAAGCGTCGCGGCAAGGGAAACCAAGACGTCCTTGGGTTTCAAGCGCAACCCTCCGCCGTAAAGGGTTGAGGGTTGAGGTCTCGGGTTTCGGGATAAGGACTTACATGGCTCGGAAGTAGCGTGTTGGTGAGGTCTCTACACGGGCTGCTTTGCTAGTTGTAAGGGCTTCTTTATTTATCACCGTAACATAGAAGACCGAACACTAGCATCCTTGTTAGAAGCCCCCCCTGTTCAAGTTACCGAGACCAGGAGCCATCCAGACTGCTAAGGGTTTGAATTTGGGCTGTGCATGGCTGTAGAGGGTTTGAACGGTGTTTTGGGAATTTTGAAGAGCATTTATGCAGATCCTATCCCAAGGTCTAGGTTCAGGGCTTAGGTGGTGGGTATTTGGGTTTACGCGGTTTAGGGCTTTAGGATTCAGGATTTACAAGATGTGGGTGCCCTCCCTTCCGCATTCCTACAGCATCTCCTGAAGAATCTCGGAAAGACAAACCGAAATCAAAAACCGCCAGTGTCTGCGGCGCTCGAAAACATCCTCTGCTCCGCCTGGACTCTCAACTTGTGCCATGGCTCAATCTCCGCCTCAATGTCCCCCATCATCAACTGCACAAGAAGCAAGGTTTCGGGCAGGTCCCGGGTTCAGTAAGCCGCACATTAACACTGTCAACGCCTACTCGTTGAATTGAGGCGCAAAATCAGCCCTGAAATACTTTATATAAACGAAAGCCCTAAACCCTCAAACCCCCAAGCCCTTAAGCCCGAGACCGCGAACCCGCAAACTTCACCCTGAAGCCCAAGAAGCCGCACCTCTAAGAGTTCCGGGGAGCTTTGAAGCAGCTGCACAAGCCTGGCTTGGGGAGGGAAACAACCCGAGTCTCGGAGTTTGCAGAGAAAGGGCTCTTCGAGGGTTTAGGGTTCAGGAGCTTGGGGTTAGGGTTTAGGGTTTAGGGGTTTAGGGGTTTAGGGGTTAGGGGTTAGGGGTTAGGGCTTAGGGTCTAGGGGTTGATGGTTTCTGGGTTTAGGGTCTGGATTTACGGTTTAGGGTTTAGGGTCCGTACGAAGTAGAGATCGACCAAACGGACCTCCCCAGCGCAGGGTCCCCTCAAGTCGTGGCAGCAGCACATCAGACCACCCTCTCTTCCCAGCCTGGCTGCAGTTCAATATCGCTAATGAGATGGCGGTTTCACAAGGACAAGGGACAGGAGGCCATGCATAAAGGGCCTTTGAAGGAGTGCCGAATTGTACGAAACCCTAATATCTACTAAAATCCTAACATGTACTGATATGTTGAGAACTCCTGGGTTGAAGGCACCCTCTACTCCAAATCGCACTACAACGACATACAGGTGCTCTTGGCATAGGTACCAGCAGTGGTAAGACTAAAAACTGGAGTAAACGGCAAACCTCACAACAACTGACTATCGTAGCAGCAAAGGAAATCGAAGCACCAAGATCATAACAGCGATGCTGAAACCCAGAGTGCCAAGAATAAGCTTGATGATGATGATGGTGATGATGATGATCGCAATCCTTCATCACGAAAATTCCTGCACCCTATGTCAAGCTAAGCCCGCCTGCCTCAGCCCTCAGCCGATCAGTTCACATAAGGGAGCGTCTTGCAGTTCCAGACCCCGAGCTTCGGTTACGGTCTAAGAAAGGGGCCTAATTCAGGGTTTAGGATTTGGGGTTTAGGGTTTAGGGGGGCCTTAATGGATACCTATACTATTTTTCCTTGTTATAACTCCAGTATGTTATCCCCCTCAACCCTGTTCTAATTATTCAGGCGCCCCCAAAAGGGTTCAGGAAATGCGGTTCAGTGTTTGGGACCACTCTGGAGGTTCCAAGGCAGTGACGGGTTCATGGAGATGTCGAAGCGGCGAACGGACGGCGTGCTCCTGCCGGCCGGACTCTTGCAAAGCCCCCAAAAAAATCAGAGCATGAATGAATGTAGCTTGGCTGTTTTTCGCCATGGTGGACCAACCCTAAACCCTAAACTCTCTATGGGGAACCCTATAAACCCTAAGCCCTATGGGGAACCCTAAACCCTACAGTAGAAGCCAGAAAGTTGGAATATCATTATCATAGTCCCTTTAAGGTAAAAATATAGGGGATCCTGCCATTATTCCATATTCCAACTTTCTGGAGTTCCTTTTAAGGCCTATCAAAAACCCTATAAACCCTAATAAGCCCTATGGAACCCTAAACCCTCAGGCCAGAGACCCGGCTCCTGAGAGCATCGCAGATGCTTCGAAGGCCCTCAGGGCCGATCGCATTGCTGCGCAGTTGGAGGGAGGCCATGCGCTGAGCCTCGTGCTGGGGTGTAGCTCCTAGGGGGGGTTAGTGGCCTTTAAGGGATCTACAAGGGATCTATAAGGGTTACTATAAGGGTACTATAGGGTTAGGGTTTCAGGGTTTAGGGTTTAAGGGCTATAGGGTTTAGGGTTTCAGGGTTTAGGGTTTAAAGGCTTTAGGGTTTCAGGGTTTAGGGTTTAAAGGCTTTAGGGTTTCAGGGTTTAGGGTTTAAAAGCTTTAGGGTTTTTGGTTTCAGGGTTTAGGGCTTAAAGGCTTTAGGGTTTAGGGTTTAAAGGCTTTAGGGTTTGGGGTTTCGGGGTTTAGGGTTTAAAGGCTTTAGGGTTTAAGGTTTCAGGGTTTAGGGTTTAAAGGCTTTAGGGTTTTTGGTTTCAGGGTTTAGGGCTTAAAGGCTTTAGGGTTCAGGGTTTCAGGGTTTCAGGGTTTAGGGTTTAAAGGCTTGAGGGTTTAGGGCTTAGTGATGTAAGGGCCAAAAGAATGAACACCTCAAGCACCCGATCATCCTAACCGCCGGACCTTGCACCCTGAACCTGGAACCCAAAAAGCCGAATAGACTTAAAGAGCTAGAGCTAGGGGTAATGGCAAGGGCAACTACATCATAGTTGGCATGGCGACTACAATGATAAGAACAGCAACACGTGAAGATCAGACACAAGAAGTCAGAACGAAGCCCCGTACTCGTAACAGTAACAGCTCATCACCATGATCAGTCCAACCATCTAGCCATGGTAATGTTATTGTTTCCATATGCCAGAGCCGTAGAACTAGCAAACTAGATACTGCAATACTAAGAAGAAGAACAAGAGCAAACCACGAGACCACAGTTTGGAAAAAGCGGTAAGAACTGCTAGCACAACCACCGCTGCGACCCTGAACTCACAACCCCCAACTTCCTCGCCCATGCCCTAAGCCCATAAAAGCCTAAACTCCTGAAATCCTGCACTCCCACACCCTAAACGCCTTGGAAATCGGAAGCTAAACGCCCTAAACTCTGCACCGCTGCAGCCTCAAACCTCGAACCCTCAAAGCCATAAACCCAGCCCTCAAGCCCTAAGCCCGAAAATCCCGTTAAGTGCCAGAAACTCCAAATCCTAAACCCTAGTCCGTAAACCAGAAGCCTAAATCTTTCGAGAAAACCGCGTACACTTTCGACTGTAAGCACATGTGCTTGTACAGACAATTTGATAGATTGATTGATTGTGATATTTTCATGTGTGTATACATATATATATATATACACACACTCACACTGTATAGAGATTGGTCGAGATAAAGATAGGAGTAAAGACACGTATATAGATGTAGATACAGAACTAGATATAGATATAGATACAGATGTTGATATTGATACTAACCTTGATAATGTGCAAGATTCGGATACTTAGACAAAGATAAAGAAACCGACATATCTTTGTTGGCTTGTTGTCTGTTTGTACAAATGCATAAACATGTACATATATACAATAAAATCACTCTCTCTCTCTCTCTCTCTCTCTCTCTCCCTCTCTCTCTCTATATATATATATATATACATACATTATATATATATATATATATATATATATACACCCTACGTCCTAATCCCATGCAGCCCGTGTAAAGCCCTGAGCGATTCAGGTTCGGGCCCTTGGGCCCAGCAGGGCGGAGGCAAGCTGAGCGGCGCCCTCGTCTCCGAGGTGGTTGTACCTAGGGCCGCAGGGTTCCTTCAAAGCTTTAAGGGGTTTAGGGTTAGGGTTTAGCTTTAGGGTTTCAGGGTTAGTGTTTAGGGTTTAGGGTGCCGTTGAGGGTTCGGGTATGGATTCCTTCCATGAAGCCTTTCAGGGTTTAGTATTGAAGGGTTCCTTTTCAGGATGAAACCGGGGTTCCCCCAATGGTTTCTTCGTCTGTTTGATTTCTCCAACTATGATGTTCCAGGTGTCCGCTAAAGCCTACTGTCAGGTTGCTATAAGGGGTACTGTGAGCGTTCCTTGATGGATTCGTTTATTTGGGGAGAACGCGGTCTAGGAGTTAAGCTTTCGGGGTTTGGAGGTTGTGAGGCTTGACAGGCTGGCGAGCTCCAGAGAGTGGAGGGCTTTGGGGCTCAGGCCTTTGGAATAGGGCTTAGGGCTTAGGGTTTGCAGGGTTTCGGGCTTAGGGGCAAAACCGGCATTGCCTTCCTGTTCATACCTGAAAGCCTGGACATGTTCCATCTGATGCGAGTTCGGTGCGTGAGTACCTTCCCAAGCTAATCTCACAGGTGCAGGGTTGAGGATCAAGTTGAGTCTCAGGCTTGGCCATCTGAGGGGCCTAAAACTTGAATCACTCGACACAAATTTGCCATGGCTTGCTCGGGTAATCCTCGGCTAGCGTTCCAAATATCGTTTATTGAAATCGGTACCCACCCATACTACAAAACATGCCGAGTATGACCTAGACTGACCTAGATTTGACACTGTCCGAAAGCAGCTAGAAGAGTGCGCCCTTTACCGACGTTATACTTGGCTGTCTGATGCTCAAGCTGGAGCACGACAGGTCCAACCTGCAAAGGAAAGGCGACACCCCGTAGAAGACCTGCAGCAGCGAGGAACAACCAATAACAAACTCGAAGCCTCTAATGGTTTCGGTTTTCAATTTCTCCGCTTCAGGGTACACAAGGTTCTCCAGAGTCGGGAGGGGAGTGCTGTATGGGTTTGCGGTTAAGGTTTCTGTGGTGGTAGGGTTTCTGGTAGTGTTCCATATCTATTAGCCCTAAGAATGGCATACCCTTCCACTTAGACAGTGCTTTTCCTTGCTCGCGGAAGTTAAGCCTCCAAAATCTTCCAAAACCTGGCCTGTACCTAGGACCTACTATAAAAAAACAAGCTTAACCGCCCAATTGTAAAAAACACAACTCTGAACTCGAAATCTCCAAATCCGTAGACCAAAAAACACCAAGCCCCCCCCCCCCCCCCACACACACACACAAAAAAAAAAAGTGGCATGTAGCAAGCTTCTCAAAAACAAAATGCGAGAGCAGAAAACTTCAAAGACCTGCCTTCGAGAAGATCCCCATGTCCTGCATCGTCCGATATTATCAAGTTCTTGCTGGGGTGTAGGGACATTTAACGAGTTTCGCATGGCCCTTATGGGGATGGTAGATGATTCTAGTGAGAGTTTATTCCTCTGGGCAGTAATGGACCTGTGGATCCTGAGATTCTGTGATTGATCAAGACTGCGATCAGCTCATCACCATCAACATAAAGATCACAAGAACGCCAACACACTACGAAGAAGAGAATACGTCTCTCAAGTAGTCCGACAGTATATAGAAACACCTGGGATACGAGAGCTAGATCAGGAAAAGGCGCTGTCGCTGTTCAAGCATGGTAGCTGCAGGAACGACTAAGGCGATGGACAGGTTAAAGACGATGATGATGACGATGTTGATGTTGGGGATGCCGGCGACGGTAATGAGGATGATGCTGAGGATGATGATGATGATGATGATGATGGTGATGATGGCGACGGTTGCAACGATGATGATGATGACGACAGCGATGATGAAAAGAACCTCATAGATCCGCTCCCCGTGATCGTCCTTTGGGCATAGTGATGCCTCTGCTAATGCTGACGGCGCGCATTGTCGGAGTGATGATGACGAACATGGAACTGATGACAATAGCACTGAGGGTTGTGATTCCGATGGCGACGCTGATGTTGATGCTGTTGATACTGACGACGACGATGATGATCTTGACCAGCTCGGGAATTGCACATTCGTTGCTTGCTCAGATGCATCAGGAGTTGTTGTAGCAGTAGTAGTCGTCGTCGTCGTCGGGTAGTGGTAGTGGTAGTGGTAGTGGTAGTGGTAGTGGTAGTGGTACTAGCAGTGGTAGTAGTAGAGGTACTGGTAGCAGTAGCAGTAGTAGTCGAAGTAGTAGTCGTAGTAGTAGTCGTAGTAGTAGTAGTAGTAGCACGAGCAGTAGCAGTAGCAGTAGCAGTGGAAGTGTCAGTGGCAGTGGCAGTGGCAGCAGAAGCCGTAGCAGTAGCAGTTGGAAAAGAAGCAACGCTCTCTGCTCTACTCTCGCAACCCTCAAGACCTTGTGATCCTAAAGAAAATCAGAAAATCGAACAGAAAAACCTCAAGCGCCTGAAAATCCCAGGCTTCAAGGAGTCCAGCGTTGGTATCGGGGCCTGAATAATAGGGTCTCGGGGAATAGTGTACTAACTACCGGAACGGTTCCTAAGGAATAATATTAACAATTGAGGCTTTCGGGCTCTGTCTGGCTCCATTCAAGGGGCGCAGCCTCGTCTTTGAGGCGGTTGGTGAAGGTCAACTTGTGATTCCCCGGCGCCTGCGCTCTGGAGTTCAGGGCTTCAGGGCTTGTTCTCAGAAGTTCAGGGGTTTTCGGTCGTGGCGAAGCTGGGTTGGGGTCAGGATTGTTCAAAGGTGTGCGTGTGTGTGTGTGTGTGTGTATCAATGACAAGGTGGATAGAAACCAGATAGGTTAAAACTCAGAGGCCGGACTACAGCAACACATAGTCGTAGCCATATCTGCGTGTATGCGCACATTGGCATGTGGTTAAATATGTGAAGGAGTTCGAGTCGACATGTGTATCAACATGGGTGGACACATATACACATGTATGTGTGGAAACAAGACTCACATATGCAAACATGCATGTATGTATCCATGTGTGTGCATGACGGGTATGTATGCATACATATATGCACATACATGCACGTAAACATATACACATATATACATATATATATATATACATACATAATATACATGTAGATACATATATATATATATACACACACATATACATATATATATATATATATATATATACACATATACATAGACATATATATATATATATATATATATATGTATATATATATATATATATGTATATGTGTAACGCAGACATACATACATTATGCAGGTAAAAAGGACGTGCATGTCCAGTTGATGATTGACAGCTCAACTGTAAGACTGCTTGCAGTCCACGACTTGTGGCTAGCATGCGAAGGGCCATGCCTTTCTTTCAGTGGGCGCCCAGCCTTGTCAAGAAGTTTTGCGTGGAGAAGCGCTTCTCCAGAACAGGTGCGGGGTGAAAAGAGATGAGTGAAAACGAATAGACTCAAAGAGCAATGGAAGCTAGCCCACTGATTTGATGTCTAATTCATTCCTCTTCAAGAGCCTTGGTCCCAAACTCTGAACCATGAAGCCTAAGCCTCAAAACTCAAAGCCTTCCGTCGTTGACCTACCAGTACAGCTCATCTCACACGGGCATCTCGCGAACGTTCTCGCGGCCAGCGCGCCTCCAAGCGGAGTCTGTCCAAGCGTTGGGGCCGAGGCAAAGCTGAGAATGATCTAAGGTAGTTTGGAGACCGTAAAGTTTACGGGATTGCGGTGATGATGACGATGATGATGATGATGAGATGATGTACATGACCACGTCAACATCGGTAGTGTCGACGACGAGGACGGTCATCACCATCATCATGCAGATGCTGATACAGGACGACGATGATGACGACAGTACCGCTAGCGATGACGATGATGATGGTGACGATGACGATGATGACGATGACGATGGCGATCATGATGATGGTCATGGTGATGGTGATGATGATGATGATGACGGTAATGACGCTGATGACAATGGTCAGAACGAGGAAGACGACAAGGGGAGAATGAAGGTGAGGAATGGTGAGGACTACAACTATAGCGATGAGACATGATGGGAATGATGACGACGCGGACTGAGCACGACGATTACTACCATCACAACACTGGCGATACGACGAAAACGACGACGATAGCAACTGCTAAATTAGTTTAGCTGTGCTCTTGCTGAAGCTACAGCGTGGATTCTACAGACTTCAGAAGCGACCAGGGTCGCTGGTGATGATGTGTGAAGAAAGAGAAGGGGAACTGGGGCCTCAGGCCAACTTCCAAAACACAAGGTCTTGATCTGTCCCCAACAACTGGGGAGCTGTTACGCTGGTATGAGCTTTCCGCTGCTTCTCAAGTGGCACTCTCTCCGTCTCTCCCTCTCTCCGTATCTCCGTCTCTCCGTCTCTCCCTCTCTCCCTCCCTCCCTCCCTCCCTCCCCCTCTCTCTCTGTATCTCTCTCTCTCTCTCTGTCTCTCTGTGTCCTGCTTCGCTCTCCATTGACGGAGGAGGGTGAGATAAGACCACAGAATCATATGCAAGGAACATGCATTTTTCTCAGATACAAATATCAATGTGAATCTACTATACACACCTATGTCTATACCTTGAGAGATGAACGGATAGATGGGACTGTTGGAAAGTGCTACCGGCTGCTTCTCAAAAACTGCAGCCGTCAAAACCTTCAAGCTTTTTTCGGGCCCGTGAAGACCCCCTCCAAGATCCTACACCGCGTAAAGGTCGACCCCACCCCTCAACCCCTCGTCGATAAGGACTTGCAGACCTAAACCCAATTCACGTCACCGGCCACGCTCTGAGCCCTCCGGCCGAGGGCGGTTGGCCCCGATAAGCGGCCCCAGCCACCAGGGATGGGCCTTTCCTGCAGTTTAGGGTTTAGGGTTCACGAGGTTTTGGTAGAAGACGACGTGTGGCAGCTGTAGCAATAGAAATGTTTAGGCTTGTGGAGTTTTGACACAAGAAGATGTAGTAGCAGAGTAGCAGCTGCAGCAGCAAAAAAAGCCCTATATTGGTGGCAATGGCAGCTTCACGCTATTGTTGCTGTTGCCGCAGCAAGTGTGGCAGCTGAGCAGCTGCAGCTGCACCAGCAGCACGGGTGACATCACTGTACAACGCTGTGCAGGGGTTGTACGAGAAAACTAGTTTTGTTCATGCCAGCTGTGAAGTACAGCTCCTTTGTCTAAGCCCTCACTGCCATAATGCCACCAAAGGGCGTAGTCTGTCCTGGGCACATCATGCACAAAAAGGATGGTGTAGGGCTTCGGGCTTTGAACTTCGGTTGTAAAGTTTCCTAAAGCCCCAGGTCTAGCATGCAAGATTCGGGGTATCAGGCAAGCTGCAGTCCTTTGTTTCCTACTACTACTACTACCACCACCACTACCACCTGCAACAAATACAACCTGCTGCTACCTGCTACTACTGCTGCTCCTACCACGACCATGTTTTGACCTAGCAGGACCTACGGTCCCTTTCGGTGAGTGTTGCCTGATAATTATGTTGTATGAGCATGACTTCTTGCCAGCGTGAGGCCGGCCAGGCGGCCTTTGAGCTGGCATGAGAGCGCGCTTCGTAGGGAGAATACAGTTTTTCAGACGGTGGTGCGTTAGCTCTGCGTGCGCAGAAATCATTCACAGAATGCAAGAGCCGCTAGTTCATTGGCGCTGCATACGAGTTAAGGAGTCGAGCGAAGCAGGTCGCACCGTCGCACACTGGAATCTTACAAATGCTCACAGGGAAGGGCACTGTAAATGTGAAAATGCGAAAACGGCACAACAACATTGTCCACTCACTGGGCCTGCACAATGCGCGGCTTCGTTGGCCTTGGACATGATGGGCGCTAGCTACACGTCACGAGAATGGGAACTGTGCCTTGCTAGAGCAGATGACCATTGAAGTCCTTGTTTTGTGGCCTCGTAAAAGGAATCGGTTTGCCTCATGCCAGAGCAGCTGTGTGGGGAGCGCCAAAACCGATGTGTCAAAGGCCCACTCATCCAGCAGAACTGTTTTCCGGCGTTCCAGGCCGAGACCCGGTGTGGCCCGCACATTCTCCACACCGAAAAGAGTGCGGAGCGGGGAGTGCAAGAATGACTTGCCCTCGCCACCATAGCGACCCGTGAGGACTACAACTGGGACATCTTCACACCTTACCAGAAAAAGACTGCGCTGGAGATGCGAGCAATTCTTAAATGTCCGGAATGTGGATGTGGTTGCGCTGCAGTAGTTGGACCGGCAGCGTGGAACAACATCCCACCACACTGACGAGGCTCAGCGTTGCTTCCGCGTGTTGGCCTTGACCTGGAGAAAGTCGCCAACATTCTCAAGACCAGACATCATCTATGATGCATGGAAGCTCTTGACGATTTGAAAAGCTCACCAACCCCAGAGATCCATACTGTTTCAACCACTGGATCAGTCGCTCTGCCGCCGTGTGGTCGTCGTCAGTATTGCGGAAGCCATGCCGTACAATGATGGAGTAGACGTTGATCTCGGAAGGCCTCGGCTCCGGCTTGCCTTCCTGACGCGCAGCTTTGACGTTGGTCTCCCTTGGCCTGCTGAGAGCGATTGCAGTTGCAGGCTCCTGGCAAACCCAAAACAACTTGCGGTGGCACCCGTCTCGAGCCCAGGTAAAGGGGTTTGGATCTAAGGCATCCTGTGGCTTGGTAGCATTTGGCATGTAGCCGTACCTCATTGCAGACCAATACCCTGTGTGTGAGCAGCTCCATTGGCTTGCTTTGCCATGGTGTACAAAGGGAGCACACTGGAATGCAGCAAAGCCGAAACATGAAGCCGCTTTCAACGCAATGTGCCAGCGAGCTGGCCCTCACCATCTTTGGGAGCATGATGCTCTCGGAAGACGACGAATGACTCAAGCTGCACTATGTGACCCCATGATGCATTGTTGTTGCTGCAAACAGGCTGCTAAAAAGCATCCAAGAGGACACGTGCCACGGTTACTAACTACAGCTTGTGCATCGGACTTCAGGTTTGAGGAGTCGTCCACTGAAGCATCAACGTCTTTTTGAAACTGCATCTCCTGTGAAACGCTTTGCAAGCACAGAAAAGACCGGGAATGCCAAGGAAACAGAGAAGAAGACAAACAAGACTATCCACAAGAATGCAGGATGCATGAACAGCGCTAGACTCGCGCCAAACGACCCAGCGGCGATGACAAGCGAAGTGGTGACATTTGCAGTGACACAAACCGTACAGCACATCAACACTGTCTCTGATGAAGACAACCGCCCCACACCAATGGTGACAACGACAACGTCAACCACAAAACAAAAAAAAACAAAAAAGGACGTCTGAGGTTCTTGTATGGCTTCCGCTTGCATCGTTAACCCTGAACCCAAATCCAAACCAACATCCAAGCTTCTCTCCCGCGGTTGGCGGCAGGCATCGCGCCTTTGCCCGGGCTGGCGCGCTTGTTCGACACCTCCCTGAGCATTTGTGGGTCGGGTTTAGGGCTGTGGCTCCCTTGGGCATTTGTTGGTCGGGTTTAGGGCTGTGGTTCCTCAACAAGGGAAATCAGCTATTTGGTCCCATCCTTACCACGGCCAGCACCAGTGGAACACCTCTGTCAGCATCAACTTTACAGTTGTCATCATCAGAAGCAGCAACTTCTGCCAAGTACCGCACTCTCCTCTGCACCACCATGATACTATGATTCACGTCTACTGTCGCTTTGACCATTGCTCCGGCTACTTGTGCTACAGTTAAAGAGATTTCGGACAGATGTGGTCACTATCGCAACTATATGCTGCTATTGATGCCAGGCTTGCTCTCCCCGCCGCCCCCGCCACTCTCCGATGTGCGCAACTTCAAGTGCTATTTGCTGCGATATGCTGCGATGAAGTCCTGGATGCACCATCATCAATATGTACATGTGTATGTTCGCATGTATGTGTGCAGGTATGTATATACACCCTGCATATACATATGCACACGTGTCTTTTGTAGTCATCCGCGTGTATGTGTGCATGTATGTATGTATGTATGTATGTGTGTATGTATGTATGTACAAGTGTATACATATATACATATGCATAGATTTACACATAGGTATACATAAGTATGAACTGTGTATATGTGTATCTAAATGTTACATGTCTGTTTATGCATGCACGTACATACAAGGACACTAGTCTTGATTCTCACTGCCATCAGCAATTACAAGATTGGTCTTCAACATGTTGCCTCAGCTCATATGACTATTGCTACTGCACTGTTACTAGTGACTCTACCTCTCGTATCGCTTTATCGCAATACTCATACCACAACCCACAAGTTGAAAGGCCGTTATCTCAGACTTAAGATCTCAAACCCTGGACACACCTAGCCCCGTGCACCCTAACCACTAGAGCCAACCCTAAACCATCCTAAACCCAATACCGCGAAGCCCCAAAGCCTCAAACCCGATACGCTGAATTCGCTAATTAAACGTGATACGCTGAAGCCCTGAGCCCTAAAGCCCAAACTCCCAAACCTCAACTCCACAAAAGGCCCCTGTACTCTCATATTCGTAACCCTTCCAGTGACCCTTTCAGTGACCCACATCATAGTAGTAGTAGCCATCACAGAAAGCACTTGTAGCAACCCCAGACCCTAAGACCTTAACCTCGATACCCTGAACCCACTACCCCAAACGGCCCCACTGCCCCGAACGGCCCCCCAAGAACCGGACTTCGGGTCGTAGTCATGGACGTCGGGGAGCTTGAAATCTTAGTGGTGAGGCGTCTGCAAAGCTTCAGGGGATCAGGGTGAAGGGGTTTAGGGTTTAGGGTTTGGGGGTTTAAGGTTTAGGGTTTGGGGGTTTAGGGGTTTAGGGTTTAGGGTTTTTCAATCCCATTTTGCAGGGGCTACCTTTTTCCAATTATATACCATCCAGTCTAGCTCTACCACATCCGCTAGGACAATTGAATATTACCTCTGCAGCGTTTAGGGCTTCAGGCCTTAGTAATCAAGATTTTTTTTTTTTTTTGAACCCTCTTTTCCTTCTGCCCGGGAGTAATCAAGATTTCGGCTTCAGGGCTTTAGGGCGTCAGGTTCAAGGATTCTCGTGCATCTGCTTCCTGCTGCTCCTGCTCCTGTTATACATAATGGCCTCATGCCTATGACTGTTGTTTTGCTACTCTTGTTGCTTGTGCTGTGGTCTTGACTGGTGCAGTGCTGGATTCTTCGACCCGAAAGGTTCACAGCGGTTGCCTTCCTCTTTCGCTCATACCCGGATAGAGCCGCGACACCCTTGAGATCGTCATCGTCGTCGTCATACCCGGCGTTTATGCCGAAGAAGTCCATGACTTCATCCATCTGCGAAGCCGGCGACAAGAAGCGGGCTAACATGAAATGGTACCATGCAAGGGAAACTGCTTCCGTGAACAGCACTCGCTTGCAGTCAAGAGCTTGCACTAAGATTGAAACAAGCCGTGAAAAGCCGTGCAAAGTTCAACAAAATCGAAAAAAGCCTTCACACCGTCACAGCCAAACGTCAACCGAAGCCTTCCACTCCAAACCCCAAACCCTTACATGGACAAACCGACCACAAGAAAGCTGTGCCCCGCCCGCTCGTCCACGAAGGACATGACATTGTGGACGAAACCTCGCTGAAGCCGAACACACTGAGCCTACAAAAAGATCATATAGAGAACCTGAAACCTAGCTCCTAAAACCCCCTGAACTTAAACCCTACACTGCACGAAGATGGCTAATGGACAAGACGGCCTTTCAAAGGGTCTTATCCTTGGCAGTTGCAGGGAAGGAAGCTAAAGGTATCCTCAGTCCATCGGCCCGGAATGGAGGGAGGGAGGGGGGGGGTCTTGAGGAGTAAGGAGGCTAAGGCTCAGGCCCTAAACTGCGATGACTAAGACCATCACCTCTCACTCTGTTATTGATGTCATCACGATTATGATTTCTACTCGGATCCCCTAATTTCTGAAACTCCCATGTGGCAGTTTCCGAAACTCGGGGACCCTAATATAGTACCCGAGATAGCAAGATCCTTATTATCAGGACCCCAAAATACGGCACCCCTTGGTTTCTGAAATCCCACACAATTAAGCACTACTGTTCACCTGGCTCTTCCGGGGGCAATCGAGGAGGCTGAAGGTTTTCGGTTCATTTTGGGGCTCTTAGGGCTTACTGCGGTTTAGGATGTGTTTTTTTGAGCAACGGTTTAGGGTTGCAAAGCTTAGAGCAAGCAGAAGCCTACAGCTCAATACTTAAAATTCAGAATCTCAAGCCCCAAAGCACTCAACTAAGACTACCAAGCAGAATAAAGGACCCTCACCCCCAAACCCTCCTAACGTCACGATGGCTCAAAGCGGAGGCAAGAAGCCCACTTTGTCCCGCAGCCAATTCACCTCATAGCAGGTTCGCGGTGATGGGGATGTCTTTCAGGGTTTAAGGCTGCATGCTTCAGGGATTTCTGCCTGCACCTGGAAGTAGAAGAAGCAGAACAAGAAGCAGATGCATACGAACAAGCACAACCTCGTATGAAGAAGGAAGACGAAAGCCGTCTACACCCATGTGGCAGCTATAAGAACCACTTCCATTACGACCAGGGGTGCGGAGGCCTCCGCGTCAGTCTCATCACCACCCTGATCCATATAGTCTTCATCTTCATTGCCATGAGAGCGAGCATCACCATCATGGCCGTGGAATAGTCATCATCCTCATCATCACCAACATCCTCAACATCATCAACAGCATCATCATCGGCAATCTGACCATCACCATCATCGTAATCATCGTCGTCTAAGCGGTGATGATACGGCTAGTTTCTTGCAGATGCACCATGGCTGAAGTTCCATCGTGCCCTTCATCAGCTCTTTCGTTCATGGGCAACGTATGTCGTGTAGGGCCCTTCAATAATTAGAGAACGGCTTTGGAGTTTATTCCAGTATGGTTCTAAGGGAACTATAGGGGGACACCATCAGTAATTCTTCCGAAATCTATCTTGTTGTTCCCCGTCTTCTCAAAAAATATCACAGCGCAGCGCCCCTGAAAAACTGGCCCAAACTCCAACCAGCACTCCGTCAAGCGGCGAAAGCCCCAACCATGATCAGGAGGATCACGAAGGCAATTGTTGCAAAAAACCTGGCGTGGGCAGTGGAAAAAAAAATCAAATCGGGGGCCCCGAACCGGTGCTTTCCGCCTCTGCTAAGTCAGTCACCCAAGGTCTCACAGATATGCTGGCTGCTGGCTTGCCCTCATCGAAACTCTGAAGCAACAAAGTCCTGACCGTAACAACCGTAAAGCCTCAAACTCCAAAAACCCTAGAGACCGCTAAGCGATAAAGCAATGGATAAAGCAATGGGCAAGATCATGTAGGAACCTGACTAAGACACCCTGGGCCTACAACCCCAAAATAGTAGAATTCATTCCAGGAACCCTGATAAATTCCCAAGGTTTCTTAATCAGGTTCCTAACTTAGACCAGCTAAGAGCTGAATCTGAGGGTGGAGGCTAGATGACACATCGAGACATGCAGTTTCATCCCGAAAGGGCCCAACCTCGACTAATGTAGGGGCCTTTATTAAATATGATTAGAGTAGGGTTTTGGGGGTATATGATAGTATACTTAGAGTAAGGAACCCTAAGAATGATGTAGGAAATTGTTTAGGCTTCTATATTAGACGGCTGCAGAGTAGAAGCACGAGAGGAAAGTTTGCAAAGCAAGTTCGCTAAAGCAGTGACCGATGGCTCTAAATCCCAAAACCCTGAAAACCGAATATAGGGGCCTTGATAGTTTCCTATACTATTTTGGGGGGTTCCTTATAAGCATAGTGTAATATACCCCAAGACCCTATGCTAATTATTAAGGCCCCTATATACTTTCTCATGTCCATCTGAGGCTCCAGCAGGTAGATAGTGGCTTCTTCGAGATGGGGTTGGATGAGGTGCTGATCCCACAGCTCCTTGAAGCCTCGAAAGCGTCCGTGCCAAGACATGTTTCAGAAAAGACACCCTAGACCACAATGTAGTGAGTGGGATTAATAATAATTAGAATAGGGTTTTCGGGTTCCTGGTCATGATCATAGCACAATATACCCCCAAACCCCATTCTAATCATTCAGGCCCCCACATTAAACCCTGTCCTAACCCAAATCGCTCAGATGCTGCCTCGCCCTGGGGCTCCGGCCGTATCCCATCAGGAACACAACGGTGCCCCTGCAAGGCAAGCAGACTGCGGCGTGTGTGGATGGGTGGATACCAAGATTGATATGGTTTTGGTGCTTCAAGGCTTCAGAGCCTGGAGTGTAGATTTAGGCTTTTAGGGTTTAGGGCTTGCTGTAGGGTTTAGGGTCGAGGGTTGGTTAGGGGTTGGGAAGCGCGTGGCGGCTTTCGAAACTTGCTCCAGAGTGGTTCATGTGACCCTTCTGAAGAATCCACTCCTGGTCACTTCAGAACCTGAAAGCCCCGAGGTCACAGACCCCAATCCGCTACATCCTAATCCCAGGCTAAAGCACAATTCTAAACCCCAAAAGGGCCCCAAACCCCAAGCACTGGATCCCACACAACGGGGACCTCACCACTCCTAGGCAGATCTGCATTGTAAGTTGAGATCTCAGTCTCCGACAGCACGCTCAGTGTTGAGCAGCTACAGCTGGCTAGCAGCCCCAGAAGTTTGTAGCAGCACCAGGCACAACCTCAAAGTTCAGGATGTCGATGGCTTGGGGGTTTGCGGCTTTGGGTTTGTGGCTTGCGGGATACACAGCTTAGGGTTTTAGGGTTTAGGGTCTAAGGTGTAAAGCTCTACGGCTTGAGGCTTCAGGGCTAAGGATTAGGGTTTTAAGGTTCTCGGGTTTAGAGCTGGCTTGGAAACAGATCTCTTCACCTTAGACCCTCCAGCGGCACGCAAAGGCCTGAACTCTTCGACTCAAGCCCTGCACGAGTTGCTTTTTTGTTCGTCTTATAAGACGACTCTGAATATACATATAACTTCATGTGCATGCATACCTACCTACCTACCTTCCTACCTACATACACGTACATACACATATGTATATACACACACACATATATATATATATGTATATATATCTTCATGTGCCTGCATATCTACCTGCCTAGATATCAGACATTACATACATACACACATACACGCATACACGCATACATACATACATACATACATACATACATACATACATACATACATACATACATAAATACATACATACATACATGTTACATACATACATACATACATACATACATACATACATACATACATACATACATACATACATACATACATACACATAATACATACATATATATATATATATACTTATATAGATGTACACACATGTGTATATATATATATATGTATACGTATACGTACACATATGCTTGGTTTTTGAATTGATATAGAACAGCCGAGGCCAGAGCAGGCCATACGCCGACAGCAGCAGCAAAGAATGCCCCACCGATGGAAAACATCCTGGGAAGGTTTCAGGGTTTAGGGGTTCTTCAGGGTTTCAAGGTTTGGGGTTTGGTGTGTAGCGCTTAGGGTTTAGGGGCTCCTTTTCTCACTCAGTTTCGGGTTTCGAGTGTCAGGGTTTAGGGGGCAGGTAGACCCAAGTTATCGCACCTTGGTGTACACGTGGATCCTGAGTACAAGAACTGATCAAACAGGGCCCCTAATTCTCGGAAACTTTCTTTAAACGCTGCTTGAACTCAAGTTCCCAAATTGACAGGGGTCTTATTAACTCGCGCAAACATCAGGGTCCCTGATATTTTCAAGCTTGCACTTGGGTAGGGTTTTAGGGCGTTAGGATCTGCACGCTTCACTTGGCCCGCGCCAAGCTGCAATATCGGCTTCGTCTTTCTTCCTCCGGTGGTAGTCGCCCTCCACCCTAAGTCCACCACGTTGCTATGGTGTCGGGTTTAGGGTTTCGGATGTTGGCTGGTTCTGGCCCTTGGGTCCACCTCGAAACCAACGTCTAACGACTAAAGCAAGAGCCGGAAGCCCTCAACCCACAACCCCGGACAAAGCCTACACTAGCACACACCGAAGCCTGCAACCTGAACAGAGTCGGAATGAGTAGCAACGTCCCGTCGTAATCCCCATAAGCTTATAGTACAATAATCTATATACTTATACTTACCGTCCCCTTATAACCCTAAAGAGTTCCATCGCCTTCCAACCCCTCTATCATAGCCTTAGAATTTCAATGTACCCACCGTTAAACCCTGAACCGGGCTCCCGATCCGGTGTTCGGCCACAGTTCTGGGTTTAGGATGTGGAATTTGGGATCTAGGATTATGTGGGCTTAAAGGTTTACATAAGGGTTGTGCTTCCCTGAGATTTCTCTTCTATCTCGCAGATGTCTGTTAGATGTCCTGCACGGTTCGCACCTTGAACCGCTCAGGCTCCTCAGGCTTTGGGCTTAAACTAGGGGCCTTAATCCGCTATACTACTAATAAGGAACCCCCAAAATAGTATTGTTAATTATTTAGGCCCCGATAGTATGAGGTTCGGGTTGGACGGTGGAAGCGTTGCGGAACGACGTCGGGGCCATTCTTGTCTAGCTAGCCCAAGACCAGAACCCCAAATCCAAACCCTCAACCTGACAGGGTATAGGGTCTAGGGTTCATGTAAGCCCTGCGTGCTACACCCAGCAAACTACAAACCACACCCTCTGTTGAAACTCTAGGCCGGGCGGCGCATTGCTTTGAAACCAGGCCAAGACGATGCAAATGCTCAGGACACATAGGCCCGCCGTCTGCGCCGCCATCCGCTCGCCTCAAAGATGGTGCTAAGAGTGCAGTTGTAGCTGGCGAGTGGTTGCGTGGTTAGGTTCAGGATAGTAGGGTGTGAGGTTCAGATAACATAAGGGGCTTACTACCTAGTTCGCTCTGGTTGAGTATTTTCGAGCCGCGACTATAACGGGCATCACATCATCGTCATCATCATCAGACCATTATTATTCATAGTAGCATCGTCGTGTTCATCTTCTTCACCATCATCGTCGTCATAGTCATCATCGCTGACTTATGGTGGCCACGGTTGGCACTTGCACATGTGCTAGCCGCTAGCACCGGTATGACCTGGCTCTCAGATTCCTGGGATATGTACGTGAGGTGTTACGATGCGTGCTGTTTCTATGACTGGCACTGGCACTCTGCTTGTCCTTGAAGTTGCGACTTCTTCTGCTAGCATTGCTCTCAGCACCCCTGTCTGCCAGGCTAAACTGGTTCTTATCCGTTGTAAGTTTGTGTTGCCGAGATGAAACTCCGGTCGATTCATTGTTGCCTCAGCTCCCTGCAGCAGCCTTTGGCTTTTCTGATGGTTGTGATGCTTGTGGACGTCGCACCAACGCTGCCTTACAATGGCAACGACCACGAACTAGCTGAAGGCTTTAGCGCCCCTTGATATCAGTTGTAGTTTTCAGGCCGCGGGGATTTGCATGACGTAGTTTCAGCGGTCTTGGGCAAGTGAGGTTCGGTTTAAGCTCGGTGAAGCCTTACCCGAAACTGTCGGGATCTGAGACTTTGTGTTTTGCTCTCCCCCGGCCTGCAACCTCCGTCTGAACCCCAAGTTCTCCCAACAACCCCAAATCCAGAAATCTCAAACCCCCTAAAACACTGAATCATAAACCCAAATACAGAAATCCCAAATCCCCTAAACCCTAACTCCCAAAACCCTCGTCCAAAAACTCCCATATCCGCCCAACAGAAGGGGCCCTTGGTCGCAAAGTGGCGCTGGTACATCATCTCTTCCTCTCGCGAGGGTGCCGGCGCCTGCGGAACCAAGAGGCTGGTTGCCGAAGACATTAGAAAAGGGCTCCTTTCAAGGGATCTGTACTGAGGGTTCTATAATGTGTCGGGAGGGGAAGGGTGGGGGAGGGGTTTAGGGTTTTGGGGTTTCGGGTTTTTTGGGGGGTTGAAGGCTTTAGGGCTTAGGGGTTTAGGGTTTAGCAGGGTTTAGGGATTAGGGTTCAGGGAGAGGAAAGGGTGTTTAGGGCTCCTGTAAAGTATAAGGTCCCGACCTTCAACCCCCTTCTGGGACTCTTACAGTGGCCGCATAGCTTCCTTAAGGGAGCTCCCTTGAAGGAGCCCTCAACCTCCAGGGATCAGAACCTTGAGTAGGGTTTAGGTTTCTAAGGGTTTAGGGTATTTAGGGGTTTAGGGTATTTTCCTATGACATTTAAGGGGGTTAAATCTGCGCCTGTTTTGCCGGAGCTGGTGTGGTCGCACTTCCGGCCTCGAACAGACGCCCAGGCTGACTGGTTTAAGATAAGGAGCTTAACCATAATAGAGCTTCGTCTGGGGTATATTATCGTATCTTACTATACCCCTATATCAAAAGAACTCTGATGTAGGGATTTAGGAATTGAGGGCTTCAGGATCTAGGGCCTTAGGGCTTGGGGCTTCAAGGGCTTTTAGGAGTTTAGGGCTTCGGTGTTTCGGGGTTGAGGGGGCGAAGGATTTAGGGTTTAGGGTTTAGGGTTTAGGGTTTAGGGTCGAGGGTTTAGGAGTTTGTTGGCTTTCTGACAAGTCCGGCGGGAGCCCAGCACGGCCCAAAAACACAAGAGCAATAGGCTTACCGCAAGGGTTACTTTTAGAGCGATCTTTAAGTGTCCCTTTTCAAAGGGGGTCTATAAGAGCCAAAACCGTGGGAAGACAACCAGCTGCTGAGCCTTAATTAACCTGAACTGAACTGGACCTCAATCCTAAATTTCAACCCTTGTAGGGTAGTCTACCCGGAAAAGGGACCCCATCACAGAATCCCTGTACTTGCCTTCAGGGAGCCCTTACTATGACCCTGAATCTGGCCAGACACCAACTCAGACTCTGACCTCGGGCGCCAGTGCCTTTGCGGCGAAGCCTTCGGCGCCTGCGCTGTTTTGGGATGTTGGGCTTAGGGCTTACTTATAGCCGAGAAGACCTATCTTTTTAGGATTCCTTTTATTAAATTACATATACATTTCCTTAAGAAGGTAGGTCTTTTGGGCCACAGGCAGGGCTTAGGATTTTTGGATGTTGGGCTTCGGGTGTAGAGTTTAGACCTTGGGATGTTGGGCTTCAGGTTTAGGGTTTAGGAGGTCGGGATTTCGTGCAAGTGCCTGCACACGTTTTGGCCTTCAGATGATATAGTTCCCATAGAACCCTTGCAGACGCCATAACAAGAACCATGCTAGATTATGTTGTATTCTATCTCAAATTATATCACACTCTGCTACGCTGTGTGATACTGTATTGTGCTATGTTCTACTATACTAGGTCATATCATATGAAGGTCTATCGTATCACCCCCCCTGAAGCGGTGCATCGGGGCAAACTGGCAGTCTGGAAGTTGCAGCACACGGAGAAGCCACTCAGGGCTCCAAGCCCTAAAACATCTTGACGTTAGGGTTTACGGATTCACCATTCTTCCATTCCCTACTAACCGAAGGTAAGGATTAGGGAACTTGATGCCAAACCAAACCCTTAACTCTGAACGTTAAATCCACTCGTATCCCTTGTAATGGCATTTATGGAACCCCTAGAGAACTCTTCTAGTAGCCCTTAAGCGGCCTTGGTAGCAACCCCCAATAGAAACCCTTGCAGAGACCCCCCCCAGTAAAAAAAAGTAGAACCCGGAAAGTAGCTCATATAGTATATGGGGATTTAAATAACCCTAAATGGAACCCTTACAGAGGATCTTAAAGGAACTCTTGTAGCATTCCAAGCCCGCACCCCTAAACGATAAGACCCCAAACCTAAAACCATTTGAACAAGCATCATCAAACCCTTAAAAATATGTCTTTAAGCCCCTGAACCCTTAAAGGAGCCCCTTAAACTTAAACCTTCAACCCCTTAAAGCAGCCCTTAAAGGAGCCCTGAAAGAAACCCGTAAACCCTAAACCCTAAACCCTAAACCCCAAGGCATCCCCTGGGGCTCCCTGCGCCGCTCTGCCTCAGCAGCCGCGGTGGCGGCGGCCACGGCACGGCGGGTGGCCGACTCCTCCCAGGATGAGGGTGTAGGGCTATAGGGTTTAGGGTTTAGGGTTAGGGTTTAAGTTTAGGGTTTAAGGTTTAGGGTTTAGGGTTTACGGATCACAGGATCATAGTTGGTTTGGGCTACGGATTTTTGGCGTTCGGTTATTTGTTCGGCCTGGGTTCGGGACTTTGGTTTGGCGTGTTTGGCCTGTCTCCGACTCCAAGTCCCGAAAATTGCCGTGACAGGTCTTGAACCGCGCGTTGTTTGGGGAGCGACGGATTGGCCTTGGTTGGTGGAGTTTGGTGATTGGCAGCCCGGCTTCCATTTTGTATCCTGCTCTGCTGGCCCTGATCCCAAATCCTAAGCAGAAAATGTCGTAAGCCCTCATGCTCTTGAGTCACCCTTAACCCGAACTCCAAAATCTTAAATCCTACTCTCGAAACCGCGAATCCACCCTAAATCCCAAAAGCCTGAAATCTACAGAAATCCTCGAGCCTAAACCCTAGTACTATACTCGAACTAAGTAAGGAACACAATTTACTAGTTGTTCCGACCCTAAACCCTCAATGACTCAACCCTGACCACCTAAGCCCCTAAACCCCTGAGTCGTAAACCCCCTAGACCCACGAGCCTAAGCCCCTACAGCCCCTTATATGGCAGCCCGCGTAGATCGCTCATAAGAAGCCGTAATCCAAGAGACCCTCGAAACAATCCGAAAGCTCTTCCAGAGCCTCGCTAGACAAAGCGATGGTGGCTAAACTCGGCGCGAGTCCTGGGCTTAGAGTTTAAGATTTAAGGTTCAGGATCTTGGGTTCTGAACTTTAGAGATACTCTAAGGGCTGATAGGACTGCTACGATAAGGGATACGATGAGGGTTAGGGTTTGGGACTGGCTGATTGACCGTATGTATGTACGTAGGTAGGGTAGGCAGGTAGGTAGGTAAGTAGTTTTACACACACATACATACATACATACATACATACATAATTATTACGTACATACCTACATACATACGTACATACATACAAAAATTTACAGATATAAACACCTATATGCAATGTATGTACGGGTATATTTGGATATATGCATGTGGCTGCATGTGGTGTCGGCGTAGGTAACCTTATGTACATATATGTATGCATATGTAAATCTCATTCCTGAAACCCCGCGGCGATTTGCTTCAAACGTGATGCCTTGGTCTGGCCGTACCACTTCGTGGTGCCAGATGTCGTTGAATCACTGCGAGGGTTTTAGGCTTGGACCTGCACCCGTCACTGTACAACTTGCAAGACACAGGTAGGTTCGTGTAGACCCATCATGACTATAGTAAGCCTCCATTACGGGACTGGGGCCCCTTCCTGAGGGGCGACGTTAAATCTCCAGGAACATAGCAGGAAGATCATCCTCGACCACATCATCCTGGCAGTCCGAGCTGATAGAGGTCACGGACTTCCGACGCCTGCGTGGCTCATCCATGCTTCTCCTTAGTTCCCCAATAAACCGGTAAAAAAAAAAGGTTAAACTTTCAGATTATATACTACTGAAATCCATAAGCCCAAAAAGCTTAAAGGTTGGGTATTGGAGAACTAAGTCTCTTCTTCTTCTTGGGAGGGCGTCCATGGTAGACGGAGTCCAGGCCTTGGAGCTCGCTTGCTTCATCGACTCCTTAGCTTTCCATCCTTTCCAGCACGAAAACCGTCGGGGTTAGGGTTGCTAGAGTTTAGGGCTTCCTTATGATGTCTGGGTTTAGGGCCTGAGTTTAGGGCTTCCTTATGATGTCTGGGTTTAGGGCTTCCGTATGATGTCTGAGTTTAGGGGTTTCTTATGATGTCTGGGTAGTTTCTGAGGCTGAGGCTGAGGCTTCCTTTATAAGGTTTCTGCAGAGGTTCTACTTTTGCTTTCCTGGGACGGACTGCGATAAACCTGAACCATAGAGCCAAAGCCCTGCAGCCGAAAGCATCCGAACTCGAAATGCATAATATGTATTTAGGGTGTAGGGTTTAGAGACCGAAGGCTCGAAGGCCTTTGCGCGGGTTCCAACAGTCCGTGCCAACGGCCCAGCCCACCAAGACGAAGAAGGGCGTCCTTAGGAGGTCTTTGCAGGTCACCCTCAGGGTTACTATACGGGTACTCTAGGTTGACTAAAGGTTTGCAAAGATATGCCACAAAGGTCTAGCTTAAGATGATTCTACTCATGCTACACTGTCTTCTGTAAAAGGGTTGCATGGGGTGTTGTTTCAGCATGTCTACTATAATTATTTAGGCCCCGATTGTACACCCCCATAATACCCCTTATAGTAACCCTGATAGGACCCTTTAGAGGCAATGATTAAGGCCCCTATATATCAGCTTCTGCCATGTCAAAGACTCAGACGTGTGGATCGATCGAACCGACCAAACACGCCCCAAACGCACTGGGCTATTCGGGGATAGAACCCTAAAGCATCCTGAAGGGGACCCTACTATAGAACCCTACAGTACCCTTTAGCATCCTGAAAAGGACCCTATGATAGAACCCTATAGTACCCTTCTAGAACCTTAGGGGACCCTACTATAGAACCCTATAGTACCCTTTGAGGGTCTAGATCTTCGTCGGGTGTTCGGGTTGAGTTCGGGGCTTGGGTCGTAGAAGCTTTGACAGGTTTCGGATCTCGAGGCCGGTGGAGGTTGGGGTTCCTTAAAGGGATCCACAAGGGATCTATAGGGTTCCTTTAAAGGGATCAATAAAGGATCTATAGGGTTCCTTTAAAGGGATCCATAAGGGATCTATAGGGTTCCTTTAAAGGGATCAATAAAGGATCTATAGGGTTCCTTTAAAGGGATCCATAAGGGATCTATAGGGTTCCTTTAAAGGGATCCATAAGGGATCTATAGGGTTCCTTTAAAGGGATCCATAAGGGATCTATAGGGTTCCTTTAAAGGGATCCATAAGCGTCGGCGCAACCAGGCTCCATGGAACCAGTAGTAGAGTTGTAGAATTAATTATAGCTTGTAAAGTTTTGCTGCCGATGACGATTGGTAGTAACACTGTCAGGCGCGACACAAACACTGCAAGAGGACTGGTGGTTGACATCAAACAACCCCCGACCGAAGAGGGTGTGCTGCAATATGTCCACACTATGCTGCCCTTTCCTGCACCCCAAACCCATTACAGTAAGCGATGTATAAGCAACAGTTCCACCTCAACCATGTATTCAAAGTCTAAACTATAATCAAACCAGAGCGAAACCCTGAATCGGAACCCGAAACCCTTACGGCCCACATTCCTAAACTGCAAAACCTTCAGCCTCAGAGCCGATACCTATTTTACAGGCCTCACAAAGTAACCCTTACAGAACCTTATTTACTAACATATTGGAAGAGAAATATGTTTCCCCAATATGATAGTGCTTTTATAAAGTAACCCTTACAGAAGCTGATTTAAAGGGCGCAGACTGCTGAAGTGTAGGATGCCCGCGACGCCTTGGGACGTTTCGTGCAGCCAAAGGTCACTGCCAGGAGCGACCATGCAAAGATGGAGGCAATCCTGGGTGCTCGGGGCTCAGGTTTGGAGCTCGGGGTGAAAGGGCTTAGGGTTTTTTTCATAAAATTTAGGGTTCAGGCTTTAGGGTTTAGGGTTCAGGGTGAAAGGGATTAGGGTTTAGGGTATGGGGTTGAAGGTTCCAGGGATTAAGGTTTCAGAAAGCGTTTGGAGTCCAGGATTCTGAGGATTAGGGCTTGGGGCTGTCGGGGTTCCGGAGATTGGGATTCAGGGTCCCGCTTCTAGGGTTTAGAGCGTCCTTTAGAGCTGTTTGTTAAGGGCTTGTGGCTGTTTTGGAAAGGCTCAGGAACGTAGCGTCAACTACCCTTCTGGGGAAAGCGGCTACGCGGAAAATTTTGTGGAAGCGTGACAGCTTAAACCAAGCTCTATGAGGCTCGATAAAGGCTCGATAGAGGCTTGATGAGACCATTCATCTTGTCGACCTACAAAACTCTGTAAACCCGAGTTAAATGAGTTCCTGAGTAGGAACCCAGAACCATGAAGCAAAACTACTAAAACAAAAACCGGTAGCTTTCCTTGGTTTTTGTACAAGCCTGACCCCTACCCTCAATCCCTGAAACCGTGGAATAAAGAAAGCCCAGAAGCAGCAGGAGCTGGACTTCCAGCAGTCGAAAGCCACCCCCACGGAAAAGTCCGCTCGCCACCTTCCAGGCTTTATGGTACATGGGTGTGGGAGTGGGATCCAAGGTTTAGGGTTTTGGGTCCTGGGGTTTAGGGTTTTAGGGTTTAGGGTGTTTAGGGCTTTTTGGGTTCATGAATGTAGGGCCTAGGGTTTAGGACTGTATGGGCTATGGTTGACAAGGTGGTGGTGTAGGGTTGTAAGTCAATGCCACACTCTCCAGCATGATGACTACTCCAGCTTTCTGACACGTGTATATGTATTTACATGTGCATCTATAGAGTGTGTGTGTGTGTCTCTGTCTGCGTGCGTGCGTGTGCGTGTGTGTACATATATGCATACATATATGTGCGCATATGTATAATGTGTAAGTGAAAATATATCTGAAACATCAGACCGAGGAAACAAACAAGTCAGTACGTACGTATATAGTGTACACACATGTGTAGATGTGTATGTATATATATATATATGTATGTATATTACGTGTACATATATATATATATATATGTATGAGTACAGCATTCTTGTACGTACGTATGTATGTATGTATGTATGTGTGTATGTATGTATGTATGTATGTATGTATGTAATGTATGTAATGCAAGATGTATATGCATGTATGAATATATATATATATGTACAGAATAACACATCGATAGATGCACGATTGCAATTCTTGCGGCCCTTAAACCTAAGAAACTAAGCCTGAAACCCTCAAGCCGGACGCAAACCCTAAACCCTAAACGTAAAAGCAATGTTCCAGAACCTAAACGCCAAATCCTGAACCGAAAGCCTCTGCTGGCCAAACCTTTTAAACCTAAAACCCTAGACTCGCACAAAGGGGCCCGAATCAGTAGAATAGGGTTTTGGCATTATCTTGCACTGTGATGAAAAAACGAGGAACCTTACAGCCCAAACCCACATGGGAGTTTCAGGAAATTAGGGGTACCTTATTTGGGGGTCCTTATCACAAGGATCCTACTATTTAGGGTACTATATTCAGGGTCCCGATTTTCGGAAACTCCCATAAAGCACCCTTACAGAACCCTTATGGGACTAGTACCCTTATAGAACCCTTTAAAGGAACCCCACCCTTAGAGGCGACCGGCCTGAATGCCAGCCAACTGTCCATCAGCAAACAAGCCTCGACATCTTCGGGTTGAGGGTTTTTGTTTTGAGCGCCTTTTTCCGCCTAGAAGTTAAGGTCAGCAGAATCCACACTATGCAGGTTGAGGATTTAGGGTTTAGGGTTTCGGCCCCCTAGACCCTGAACCTGAGATCCTACACCCTAGATGCTGAACCCCAGACTCTGCACCCAAACCGTAGACCCTAAACCCCAAACCTTAGGGCCAGCTTGAAGCTAAAGGCTTTTGGGATTTTGAGGCTTAAGGGTTGAGGCTCATACGGGGCCTCAGGCACATAAATGTTGGTGGACATCCGAGTAACCCTGCATTTTGACCGTTGGTTGCTTCGTGACAGTGCGTATGTGCGTGTGTGCGTGCGTCCTTGGTTTGTGTCTATGAGGAACCAGCAGAGAAGTACAAACAAAGCCGATTCCCCACGAGCCCTGTGCAGCCCGTGTTGTTCTCTACTGGAAGACAAGAGAACACCCAGTCTCGCCCTGTTTGCTTTCATTGATCAATCTCTAGCTTGTTGTGCTGACGACTTGTTCACGTGACTGCTGTTGCAGTTGCTCTATGTGCTTCATTGTATGTTCTGACCACAGAAGTCACAGCGTCAGTTGTCCTGCTTCTGTTGGTTTCAGCTCCCTGAATGACATGGCAGCTGGGTGGTTGTCAAAATTAGGGTCCCTTTTTGGGTCCTTATTATAATGCGGCACCTAATATTTAGGGTACCCAAAAGGGGACCCTAATTTTGACAACCACCCAAATGCTCAATGAGTTCTGGGAAGGGTTCCGGATGGGCTTTCATGCCAGGGCAACGGATGCTCGGAGAATTGGGCCCTCTGGGCTGTGTCGAAGATACTTTGTGTAATAGATCATCGTCATTCTTGGGGTGGTAGAGTTTACGTACGTGTTTATTTCGGGTAGAGGGTTGGGGATTTAAGACAGATTTTGTTTTGGCGACTACCAGTAAGTCAACGAGTGGAGCCTCGCACCCCGAATCCGGTTTCACTGAGGCCCGGCCTACCGCCAGGATGCCCCACACTGCAGCAGCACCGTGCACACCAATCGCGCCCACCGGATCGTCGATCTTGCATCTCGCTATCCTGAATCTTAGCACGTGTAGAGCTGAAGTACTGCAGCAATTGCCACCTGAAACCCTGATCCCTACAGCCCCTGCACCCCACCCTTCATCAGCCCTGAGCCCTAGGCCCTAGGGCGGTTCCTTTCAGGGCTTCCTTTAAGGGTTCAGGGGTTTAGGGCAGTTTAGGGGTTTCGGGGCTTTGGGTTTGGGGCTCAGTGCTTGGGGTTTAAGATTTGGGGCTCAGGGCTTGGGATTCTGTTGATGAGTAAAACAGTCGGACAAAAGCCTGGTTCCGAATGCCTTCAGCTTTAGAACGGAGCCTCATTAGAAAACGTTTTGGGGTATATTATACTACAAAGATGCCATGCAAAACTACAGGGGCATAGGACCTCAATATCACAGCATTTTCGCCAGGTATCCAGTCGTTGGAAAGAAGTGCCGCGATGGAACCCACGAGCCCGATGATAAGCGCCGCCGGCGGGTGGATGCAGGCGCAGGTGGGCGTAATTGCAACAAGGGATCCAAGGATACCGTTCACAACCTAGGTTCCCCAGAAACCTAGAAATAACGAGGGTACTTAGGGGTACTATAGGATTTTAGGGGCTTATCGTTGAGGGTTTAGGATTTTAGGGTTCATGGTTTGAGGAGTAATGAGGGTGCCCTGTTCCCTACTACTGGGCTTCACAAAGGAGCGCCCAAAATGCGAAGGGCAGAAGGGCACTGCTGGGGAGACCGAGTGACATGATCTGCCAGGACCAGCCTGTCAACAGACAAAGAGACTTCTGTTTGTGTGTGCGTGTGAATCTGTGTTGTCATGAACCCCCGTTCTGAGATCGAATCGGAAGGGAAGCCTTGCGTTTTAGGTCAAAACCCTAAACCCTAAACCCTAAACCCATGTTTTAGGTCAAAAACCCTGCCTCCCCTTGGACTTAGCTTTGGTGTAGAAGAGTGCACCGACTCCACCACCAAAGGTGGCGTTGATGGTCGCGACGCCTGACCGGGTCGCCACGATCCACTTGAACTTGGTAATTCCAAAGGTGCTGCCGCAGTTGAAGCCAATCCAACCCCACCAGAGCATAAAGAGACCAATCAAGATACTAGTGGGGGAAGAGACCCGGAAGTCTTCAGGGGGACGGATGCCATCGAAACGACCGTGGCGTGGTCCAACTAGCAAGATTGCTACCAGGCCGTTCGCGGCTCCAAGCAGATGCACAGGGCCACCTCCAGCAAAATCATGCACTCCCAGCTGTGCCAGGCAACCATCGGCGGCCCACACCCAGTGCGCCGCGAAGGAATAAATCAGCACAGCGTAGAAGGCATAGAAGCAGTATACTGTGAATTTACAACGCATGGCAAGGCATCCACTCACAATGGTTGTGGAAGTCGCAGCAAAGCTAAACTTGAACAAGAAGGTGCTGAACCTGAGCCCCGAGGCTATCTCGTCGGCCTTTGGCACGTCCAGGAAAAAGTCCCCCAGTCCCATGAAAGAGTTTGAGGGCGCTCCGTTGGAAATGCCGAACCCTAGCAAATAATATGCTAGGCCGCCAAAAACCACGTCGTAGACGTTCTTGAGCATGATGTTCACTTCATGGCCTTTTGAAGATGATCCCATCTCTAGCATTGCAAAGCCACTTTGCATCGTCAGAATCACGAAGCTACTCGTGAGAACCCACGTTGCGTCATCAGCGTGGTCGGCGTTCACTTCCGCGAGCTGTTCGGAGTCTGCCATGCGGTGCACAGGCAGTCAACATTAAAAACTCTAGTGAAGTTGTGTCGTGGTCCCGAGGCGGTGTCTGTGACAAGTGCTCTCGAAATCTGTACGAGCATAGGGTTGGGTTCAGCTGGCATGGGCCCTAAACCCAAAATCCTAAACCGTAGTACGTACGGAAACTTGAACTCTAGATCCTTATCCCCGCCCGCAGCTTACAAGACTAAGAAGACACGCCCAGCAGAGCAACAAACCTACAAATGCTTGATTCCCCTGTAAAACAAGAACCAAGAGGGCTTCCTGGCTGTCTTGAGAATAATCACCGGAGACATGCGCATGAAGTTTGAGTTTGGGCATGCTGGGCGCAGTTGGATCTCTAGACTGGGGTTTTCGGGGTACCATGTTTCGCATCAGGCAGGCCCTCGTTTGCTCGCTCGGTTCTTATATTCAGCATACCCCCAACACCCGAAACCACTCCATCGCCGAAACCTGAAAAGGCTCCGGGTGGCAAGGCGCTATGATTACGGCGTTAACGATGGTGAGGTGATGGTGCTTGTGATGGTGGTGGTGGTCGTGGTGAGGGTAGTGGTTGGCCGTGGTCGTGGTGGTGTTGGTGATTGATGTGGGGATTTGAACGGGATAAGGATGGGGAGGCGATGACGATGGTGATGGCGAAAGAAACAGATGCTGCCGATGAAGAGCATGAGGTTGACTGTAAGTGACGAGAAGTCTCTGACTTGGGCTGACAGGATTGTGTGGACGTGACCAGCACTCTGGCTAGATCTCTGCAGGCCAGAGATTAGGCAGGAACACACGGAAGCCAAATCCTGAACCGTAAGAACGCTAAACTCTACAGTAGAGCCCTAGCACACAGGAAGCCACCGAACCCTCAGCCCTGAACCCACAAGCGGATTTAGTCACGCAATTTGGATATGAATACTCTGACTGGGGTTCTCCTGATTGCAACTCTACTTAGTAAGTTCCCTGCTGATGAACCCAAGAAATCCTGGACCCTGAACCGCGGACCCTACACCCTGCAGTGAAAGCCAAATATGACCAACCTGCTGTGTCCCTTAGGCCTCTGAGTTCCATGAGAAGGAATAAAGTGAGCACTCCCACATACAGGCCCTTGACAAGGCCTGGAGGACACTTTTGAAAACACTACAACAGTGTAAATCTCAAACCCTGAACCTTTACACACACCTGCCCTAAACCCTAAACCCTAAACCCTAAAACCCTAAACCCTAAGCCCTAAACCCTAAGCCCTGAGCCCTAAACCCCAAGCCCTAAACCCTAAACCCTCAGCCCTAAGCCCTAAACCCTAAACCCTAAACCCTAAGCCGAGCGGCTGTGCCGGGCCTTCGGGCGCTGGGCACTGCGCTGTGAGAGGCCTCACAGGGAAAATGTTACCCTATAATGGGCCATATAATGGGTGTATAATACTTCTATTAAGGGTATATACCTAGGGTTCCCTCCCTTTACGATTGGAAAAATGCGAGCTGCACGGCTAGGGGCTTCGGGTCGAGTCGTTTAATCCCTAATTTTTGCAGCCTTCAACCCTAAGCCCCAGTACGAGTACACCGAAAACCAGCCATCATATGACGATAACTGAGTTACAATAGTCAAAGCATCCGGCTAAATCCAGCAAAAGTCCATGCACAAGTAGACTGGTCGATTCAAGACCCAGTGGGGAAGCCGTGTTTAGGGCTGAGGAAAGCCGGCTTTCAGCGAGTCATTCAGAAAATAGGGTCTTGCTAAAGGTTAGGAAATCGCGGATTCGCGTAAGCCTTGCATTCTCCGTCAAAACATGTCGCACCACACATAAGGGAGCAAGACCAGGCAAACAGTACGAAACACTAAATCCTTCAACCCCGAAAACCCTAAACCTCAACCCTAACACAACTCCTAAGTGCTCCATGCATAGCATATATACACACACATATATATATATATATATATATATGTATTACCTTTCTCACCGAATGCACCCCAAAATCCCATTCCGGTTGTTAAGGCCTCTATACGAAACCCTTGTAAAACCCTGATAGTAGCCCTTATAACGAATAGGGCCCTTAGATTAAGGTTTGATGATTACCAGAACCTGCAGTACCCTTGAGAGTAACCCTTCTAGAACCCTTAGATTCAAGGAACTGTTCATCATATGGGAGTTTCCAAAAATAGGGGACCCGAATCTAGCACCCTGAATAGTAGGACCCTTATTATAAGGATCCCCAAAGTAAGGTAACCCCCAATTTTCGGAAACTCCCATCTTCAAGGCTCTTAATCGCCTGCGCGCTGAGCATAGCCGAGCCACTTAGGACCTCTTCGGCTGCTCGTGCAGCCGCAGATGCAGCCGCGGCGCTGCGGCGGGCCTTGCACTTATGCTTTCCGAAAATTGGGGGTACCTTCTTTTGGGGTCCTTATAATAGGGATCCTATTAGTTAGGGTACTATATTAGGGTTTAGGGTTCAGGGTTTGGGGTTTCGGATTTAGGGTTTGGGGGTTTTGGGTTTCTGGTTCAGGGCTTCGGGTTTGGAGTTTAGAGTTCATGGCTTCGGATTTAGGGCTTCGTGCTTTCGGGTGTAGGGTTTCAGGCCCAGGAATTAGGATCTCGGCAGGGGTCTGACAATTTCGGGCTCAGGGTTTTGGGTCATTCGTGGCTTGGGGTTCGCGCCTTCCGCTTCGCAGTTTGCGACTTCAGCACTGGAAGTGCGACATGATCAGCAGACGGTTTAGAATACTGTGTACTGCCGGTGCTATGAGCTCTCCAGGAAGATGACATGGTAGGTTTGGTGCCTGGGCTATTTGACCCCCTGTTGCAGCTGACCCCTTCTCTTGCAAGTCTTCCTTCCAAAACCACTTAGACTTTGCCATCGGACAAACCTGTAGGAAGTTCGCAAGAGAGCCATACGTCAGACAGTCAAGTGTAGACGAGTCAATGCGACGAAAAGTGATAGTTCCGACTCTGTCGGGATGGTCGTGGTGCTCATGTGCAAAGGTCGGAGACTTAAACACAGTAACCACACCAGGAAGCTTCCAGACGTGTGCAGGGATGCAGAGCAAGATGTTACAGCCGCATAAAACTTATGGTAGACATGGCTGGCCCAACCATCAACAAACGCAACCTCCACAGTGACGAGAGTACGAGCAGCCCCAACCGCGAATCCGAAAGAACAGCCCTAGTCATAGTCTGCAGGGCGAAGCCGAGGTGCGTGGTATGCCGCTCGCTCTGCACGAAGCCGCTCCTGCAGTCACTACGCCCAACAGCACAGCGACCCCCGACGACTCCGACGAGGGCGAAGAAAGCAATATGCTAGACGATAACGTGACTGGCAGAGGACAGGAAAACAGCCACAAGAAGAAACATCTCGAAAATCACGACGACCGTGGAGAAGGCTACCCAACAACCCAGACCCGAAACCCTGAACCCCCTGAGCCTAAGCCGTACACTCTGACGTCCTTAACACTGGTCCCAAGACTCCTTCACCTCCCCGCAAGGCCATGCGTGAAGCTGAAGGGACCTGACAAGTCTCCGAAACCTGATCATGCAAGGATACCTACCTTGGGATTTTCTAGGGGTTATCAGGGGATTATCATATGCTAATTATAGTACCCCAAAGAGGTTAAGGGCTACCTACTCTACCGCTGGGGATATGCAAGGCCTCAACCCTAAACCTAAGCCCTCAAACACAAACCCTACACTCTTATGATGCTAGACCTCGACCCCGAAACTCCATAAGCCGTTGTCATTGCAAGAGCCCTTGTAGTAACCCTTCTCGTAACGACTGCTTAGTAGCCCTTGTAGTAGTCCTTATAGTCGCCTAAAAAAGGAACTCTCCACCCCATACTATAGGGACCTGGATAAGTATTATAGGATTTTGGGATGCGTTGCACTATGATCATAATAAGGAACCCCAATATGGCGCTGGTAAGTACGAATATTTAGGCAAACTTGCGCCCCCCCATCCCCCCCATATTACTTTGTCCTCTCGGTTCAGCTCACCGGACTTGGCCGACACAATGTCTTTGGCCTTCGTCCGGGTTTCGGGTAAAGGGGTGAGGCTTGAAAACCGGGGTGGCAACACCTTCCCTAGGGTTGCATTTAGGGTTCACGGTTTAGGGTCTAAGGGCAATATTTCCTGGTGCTTCGGGTGAGGCAGGTTTCAATCTTTCGGCGTCCCTGCTGCTGACCTCAGACCTCCCATTCCCTGCGGCTCCAGATGAGCTTCTGAGCATGATGTTGATGCCTTGCACTGATGCTTTGCACAGCATCTGCCCCAACACCCGCTGAGCAAAGATTATGACAGTCATGGTCGTCGTCATAGTAGAAGTAGTAGTGGAAGTAGTGGTAGTGATCTGCCAAAGTAGTGAGGATAATTACAAGACTGAGAGAATACACACACATACACACACATACACACATGAATCAAAATAAACCTAGAAACCGTGCATGAGCGGTGAGACTTTCAAGAGTAGTGTTGACAGGAAAGTGGCACCCACCGAATGCGCCGCACCAAAGGTGCCCGCAGCGGCATTCGCACCAGCAAAGCCCAAAAACAAAAGGCTTGTCTAGGGTTTAGGGCCTTAGGGTTTAGGGTTTAAAGAACTGAAACCTGAACTCTCGTAACTTAAGAAGAGGGACCTAGCGTGACTCAAGATTAGTTTGTCAATCATTTCATGTCGGTATTGATGAACGTCGTCGCTATAGCGGCTACACAAGTCACGGTCCTATGCGCCCCCGTCGTCGTCACTGGCATAACAACGCAGTAACAACAAGAAGCTGGTGTCCGTCGAAACCCTGATAAGAAAGGAAGCTTGAATCTCAGTCCAAAACCAACATTTCAGTACCTCGTAGCTTTTCGAGGTACATTATGTCATTATGCCATAACTCTTGCGGGACTATGAGGGAAAGACAAATCAACTTCAAGCCACTAAACCCTAAACCCTAAACCCTAAAGGCTCAGTCCCAGGCCCAATCGTTTGAGTCCACTTCCCCGGAGGTTGCGGCCGCGGCGGCCGTC